AAAAAAAAAAAAAAAAGAAACGTTCACAAAACATAATAATATCCAGGGCTGGCTGAGTATATAGTGCAACCGGGGGCTATACCAATTTTTTTTTTTTTGAAATTTTATGTTTTAATTACATATATAATCTTATTTTTAAATATATAGTGTAGTTAGAATATAATAATATAAACTAATTTAATCTCTTTTAAATGTCTAAACAAAATAATTTTAACTTTTGATTTAAATTTAATCTTTTTACAAAAATATTAATTATAAGGACTAAAATGTTGTTTGCACTAGAATCCACGATAGTATTGAACCGGTCTTGATTGTATTCAATTAACCTAAGTTCGTGAACTAAGTTATTGGAAATCAATTCAATCTTCTCTATTAAAAGAGAAGTATTATTTATATCTACTACAAAAAATCATGTTGGATCATTTCATTAATATGAAATATTTAATTATTTATATTAATCAGTTAAATATATATAATTGCAAAAATATTTTAATAATTAATAAGATATTAGAAATAAATTTGTTTAGAAAAAATCTAACAAGATCTTACTAAGAACTTTAAATATTTTTATAAAATATCCATTATTTAATTTCATAATTAATATATATATATAAATATCTATATTAATGTTAATTAAAAAATATTTTTTTTATATTTTATAATATAGTTATATTCTATATTATATTAAAATAAAATGCTATGTTAAATGAATATAAACTATATTAAATTGGTAAAGAAAAATAATTTCTTTAAAAAAAATCTTTTATTCAGATAAATAATTAAACATCACTCACTTTTAAACATATTAAAATTTTTAAATAATATAATATTTTTATACAAAAAATGTTAATATAAATTTTTGTAACTCACAACAAGTACATTATATAAAAATTATATATGAATATTTTTTATTTTAAAACTTACAATAATATATTATATAGAAATAATTAAAATTATAAGATTATACAATTATACAGTATATAACAATAAAATGTAAATCATATATATTTGAAAGGTATTGTTATATTTCTATAAAATGAAAAAATATCCGCACGGGTTCAAAATCTAGTTAAGGAATTATAGTGATACTTTTTAATCTAACAATCCTAAACATTTAATCTCTATAATTCTAGTAAAACTCTAAAACCAAACTGTGAAATTAATCAAACATAATTAAAGAACATAAAATAAATGATAAATAAAAACAGATTTAAAAGACCACAAAGCTTCTCCAAAAGGCACGAAGTTAAAGATTTTTTCTAAGCTTACCATCTCAAAAGATCTCAAAGTCTGTAAAAATAAAACGAACTGCTAATTTCATTCTAGAAAGACATTAATAGACAATAGACAACTTTGAGAATAAAAATTAAATGAAAGAAAATTTGCAGATCTTTGTCACGCGCATCAGATCAATTTCTCACCAACATGGATTGTTCGATTGCCCTCTCATGTACTCCTTCGCCTTTAACCATCACCGATCAATGGAGCCATTTTTATCACTGAACTTGGATCTAATCGGTCCATTCTCCGTTCTTTACTGTTTTCTTGAGATCATCACGAACTTCCTTAAAACATGGTAAAATTTCACATTTTCTTTGAAAGCATCCAAACATCTAAAATACATGAGAACATGGATAGAAAACTCCGATAAGCCTCAAAAATGACTAAAAATCATGTCAAGAATTAATAAAACCAGAACAAATCACTAATTCCATTGTTTTTTTTAACTGAAAAGGGTTAAACCCGGATCTATTAAAAATACAGACCTAACTCTCAGGTAGAGGTACAATCCACGGATAGATCTTCTTCTGGGCAATCAAATGGATCGAAAACAATAATCCATATCCATGTGGCCACAAAGTGAAATGTAATGGGATGCCTTTGAACCCGAATTGTCCCGAAACCCGCGTACCACTACATCACCACCTTGTAATTCACTAATTCCATTGTTTCTTTTTTTTTTTATCTTAATGTATTTTAGCTTCAGTCTATAGGTTTCTATATAAATTATATTTCCACTGTATTGTGTTATAGATCAGAAACAAATTAAGAGAGTATGCCAAATGGTAATGAAGAACTCAAACACATCTACTTTTATTGGTTGAAGAGGACTATATTAACTTTGTCGGACTCAAAACTACAGTACCATAATGTAATATGTTTGGGCAAAAAAAAAATGTTTGGGCAACGACTGAAAATGCTAATAAATGGTACTTCACCTTCTATTCTCACCCTTTATGCACATACAAGTATACAACAGAATAACAATTGGGGTATACCGATCGAGAACAATTTTGATTGTAAAATAACCAAACAACATTGTTTGATTTACTTCGACAAAAAAAACATTGTTTGATTTACAGAACTTAGAAACATATATGCGATTCCAAAGCTTACACAAAATAAAAAAACATATATGCGATTCCAAAGCTCAAAATAAAAAAAAACATATATGCGATTACTTTTGTAGACAAACCATTATATCATCTATGTGCGAGTATGTACACGGACATCTGAATATAATTTCAATTTCTTTTATTTATGTATTTGGACATTACTTATTTAGTTATTTTTCTGCAGTTTTTAGTAGGCTGGCCTAAACCTAAAGTTAAGTAAAAGATAAACTATTACTCTCTTTTTTTTAAAGAGTGTTATTTAAACCTTTTTTTACTTAATAAAAAAAGTGTGTCACAAGAATTCAAAGCAATTTTGAGTTTAATATTAATTGCAAATACCTTGTTTTTATAAATAACATTTTTATCTCAAATACTATTAGTTGAATAATGTATTTGAATCATTTTTTTAATTTGTGTAAAAGGTATCTCCTCCATTTCTTAGTGTAAGTAATTTAAAAAAAGAAAAATCTGTTTCAAATTATAAATACTTTTCAAATATCTAAGTAATTTTACGTTTATTGAATATGATATGATCAATTAAATAATATCATGTTTTAATTGGTTTAGCTTATTTATTAAATATTATTTCTAAAAAATAACAATTTTCTTAATTTTAGTGTTTTTAGCTTAAACTATTTACATTGTGAAACAGATTGAGTATTAAAATGATATTTTTTTTTTGCAAATGAAAGAAATATATTTTTAAACCATGAATAGTTTCTTCATTTGTGTAAGTATTCATCCATAATTTAAACAACTTCCAATAATGTGGACCATATATGCATCGAAAAAGGTGAAGAAATTGATAACAAATATTAATATCCACCATTATTGGAATTTAATAACTACCAAACTCTTTGAAGTGTGTAAATGGTCATTGAATTCACCAGCGGTGTTTTTGTCTCTTGTGGCGAAAAGGACGAACATTTTAATAGTTTTATTTATCCAAAACGAAATTGAAAATCTGTGATTCAAAACTAAACTGATACTGTAGCTTTTTCCCAATTACGCATGAGTGAGTTACTTAATAGAACACATTTTTGAGATTCTTTACACGTAAAGGCACAATGTGCTGGAGAGGCACATTCCCTTTCTCTCTCTGCTAGGTAAAGACTAAAATGACCTTCATTTTGTTAACCGAATGAAGGGAGAAACTGTTGTTAGGTTTATTTTGGATTATGGGGACAAAAATTAGTTACTTTTATGTATGAGTGAGTTATATATACTTTTTATTATTTATTTTAGTTCTTCTTTGTTTTGTTTTTTCTTTATTTCAATTTTGAGACATATATAACAAAGAAATTTGTTATAATAGCTTATATTTTTTTATTTTCTACATTTTGATATCCACTTTGCTATAGTTTTTCATTATATTTTAAAATTTATTCATAAAATTTATGGTCATCACCATATAATCCATAACCACAATTTCCATAACCATCACCTACATAACCACAATTGCTTTTTTATAATATCTACCGCCACCTCCACTACGGTCTCTACTTCCACTGCTAGACCACTTCCACTGCTAGACCACTTCCACTGCTTTCACGGGGCTGAGCCTCGTCCATAACCACCACTGTCGTATCCATAACTACAACCTACATAACCAACACCTGCATAACCACAACCGTTTTCTCTACGGTATCACTGCCACCTCCATCACGATTTCCACTTCCCCCACATCCACGGGGCTGAGCCTCGTCCATAGTCACCACCGGCGTATCCATAACTTCAACCTTCATAATCACCACCTACATAACCACAATCGTTTTCTTTACGGTATCCATTGCCATCTCCGTCACGATTTCCATTTCCACCGCATTCATAGGACTGAACCTCGTCCATAGCCACCACAGTCTTATCCATAAACCACAACCAGACATAAAACTAATAAAATAACATTATATATATATATATATATGGATCTTGAAATAGAGAAAATAATATTATAGTTTATCATAAAAATTATATCTACTTTCCATATCTTAAAATTTGAAGAAAACAAATATAAATCAGAGGTGAAACTAATAACAATAACATTAAATAAATAAAACTAAAATCATTTAAAAAAAAAAAAAAGATAGCAAGTTGAGACGTTGGAAGAGAAAGAGAGAGTGTGTGTGTGAATGTGTGTTTGTAGTGACAAGGGCTATTATGGACAAATAACAACACAAATGTGTGTCTCAAGTGTTATGTGTCCTTTAGTGTTATTAGATAGTGAAAATGTGTCTTGGAATGTAATATTCTCATTACGCATTCAATTTGAAAAACAAGAAACTAAAAAAACGAAAAAAAAATACTGAAAAAAACACTCGAAACTAATTTTCAACTAAGCAATTAAAAATGCAAATTATTTCCTTGGAGACTAAAGGATTTGAGCAGAGATCCCCCTAAAATCGTCTCTATCTCTGATTCTCTGGTCCAGCTTCAACCGGTCAACGTAGCCTCCCCAATGACGCCGGTTCTCCATTGTCTCCCTCCAGCTCCACACAGCAGTTGAAATCTGGTTATGGATGGGCCTAACCCATTACTTGGTGTTTGGGAGCCAATCAACAAACCACCCAGCAACTACAGCATAATACGTCTTTTTGGGTCTAGGCTGGGTTCTTATTTTTTGATATTAAGTTGAACTCTAATTTCGAAGCTTAGTGTTTTTTTAAGGATGTCAGGGTGTTTAAAACCAAACTAAAAAGAAATAGAGGAAATAGTTTAGATTTGGTATTGCCGAATATACCGAATGGATGTTTTTTTAGAAACCACAATATATAGATATGGTTTGTTATATAAATTGATTAAACTGGAAAGCCGAATAAACTGATTAATTTAAAATATAGTAGTAGAATTATCTGATATGATGAAAATCAATCTAGTAGAAAAAATTTCATCATTTCAGAGTCTAATGATGACTACTTTGTAGAATCAAGCTTCATAAAATCAAAAACCGATGTTAATCCAAAGCTAGTTCCTAGGTTAGCTTATCTGATCTCAGGGACAAAAGGAGATAGTCATAGGATGATGAGGACTTTGCAAGCTGTGTACCATCCTAGAAACAAGTATGTTCTTCATTTGGATCTCGAGGCTCCACCTAAAGAACGGATGGAGCTAGCTTTGTCTGTGAAGAGTGATCCTATTTTCAGTCAAATGGAGAATGTTAGGGTGATGTCTCAGTCTAATCTTGTTACTTATAAAGGTCCTACAATGATTGCTTGTACTCTTCAAGCCGTTGCGATTTTGCTTAGAGAGAGCTTACATTGGGATTGGTTTACTAATCTTAAAGCTTCGGACTATCCTCTCGTAACACAAGATGGTTAGTAACTTAATGAATGTTACTTACTCTTACTTTCATCATGTCTTATACAAGTTTTGTGTAGATTTGTTGTATGTCTTCTCGAACATGTCGCGGAGTGTTAATTTCATTGAGAATATGCAGCTCACTGGTTGGAAACTGTAAGTATATAACCATAGAAACAAACACTTTTAGTTTATATAAGTGTGTGCTTAAGACGTGGCTCTTTGTTGCAGGAATCAGAGAGCTAAGTCAATCATAGTTGACCCTGGCTTGTACCTATCTAAAAAATCTGACTTAGCTTGGACTACTCAGAGACGATCACTTCCTACTTCTTTCAAGCTATTCACAGGCTCAACTTGGATAATGCTGACACGGTCTTTCCTTGAGTATTGCATTTGGGGATGGGATAACTTCCTTAGAACGATACTAATGTACTACACAAACTTCGTGTCATCACCTGAAGGTTACTTCCACACAATGATCTGCAACAGCAAAGAGTTTGTCAACACTGCGACAGGACACGAACTTCACTACAATGCTTGGGACAATCCACCAAAGCAACACCCTGTCTCTCTCTCGTTGAAAGATTTTGATAACATGGTCAAGAGCAAAGCTCCGTTTGCCCGTAAGTTCCACAAGAACGATCCTGTGTTGGACAAGATTGATAGAGAGTTGTTGGGGAGGACACAGAGGTTCTCACTGGGAGGATGGTGTGTTGGGAGGTTGAGTAATGGGAGTGATCCGTGCTCTGTGCAAGGGGATGACTCGGTTTTGAGACCAGGACCTGGTGCTGTGAGGTTGCAGGAGCTTGTTCAAATGTTGACTTCAGAGGAATATAGGAGTAAACAATGTTCTTGAATGTTAAGTTATCTAATGATCGTGAAAAATGTCATGTTGTATATTACTTTTTTGGTTAATTATTAATTTTGGTTATAGAAAGATGTTCATCAAGGAAGTGAAGTGTAAAACAGTCTTTTATTGGGCTTTTTAGGGTAAATAAGAAGTGGCGTTGATATTGGGCTCTAAGACCAAACCCAATAAGCTTTTACAATGGAAAAAAAAAATTGTGCCGTTACCAGGATCGAACCCGAGTCACCCGCATGACAGGCGGGAATACTTACCACTATACAACAACGACTTTGTTGTTGGTGGTATTTAGACAATAAATACAAAAACTAACTAAGCTGTTACGTCTCAATAAGCCAACTTACGTCGTTAATGGCGTTACGTGAGACAAGTCCGTCTCCATGTCTTCCTCGTACGCTTCGAAAAAGCACTAAACTGATCTCTCTAACTAAAAATTGAGCTCTTACGCGAACCAAGGAAACCATGAACAAGCTCTCAGTCTCTTGAATGCGCGTAAATTGATGTGTGTGTGTTGACATGAAGAATAAATAAGATGGAACAGATGGAGTTAAGGCAAAATAATCCAGGAGATGGAAATTGATGCATCCGTACACACTGACCTAGATATGCTCTATCTTGTCTTGGAAGCCAAGCCAACGGATAAGGAGAATTAGGATGGCTTGCTTGAGTATTTTAAAAAGAAGGAAGAGTTTAAAATATCTTGGGGACCGTTGGAGCTTGTAGACAAGAAGAGATCACATGTGAAAGATAAGGAGGAGAGAGGTTGAGGCATGTCACTTTCACCCGGATTGCTGAGCCCTCTTTGTCTTGCTACAGCAGCAATTGTTTATGTCAACTTGCCTATTGTTTATGATTTCTAGTTCCCTATTTATGGGCTGTAAGCATGTATCAGATTAATCAAGGAAAACATTTTCCTCTTACTCTCTTATTCTTCCACGAAAACAATCTCTCTCTCTCTCTCTCTCTCTCTCTCTAAATTCTTCATCATGTTCCTCATCTAAACTCACCATAAATCTCTAATTCTTTCATGGTATCAGAGCAATTTATGCTCTTGAGACCTATTCTCTTTTATTCTCATCTTACTTCCGCAAATATCTGATTTTTATTATCTATTTTTGGCAAAGTTCTTGATGTTCTTGGGCTGTTCTTCCTCTGCAGCTCCAGAAATTACCAAAAATGGAAACATTTTCTAAAAACCCTATTCCGGTTACTCTCAAAGGTGGGTGTCATGTCCCCGATCCTGAGTATGATCGTCTGGACAGACCATGGCGCGAGGAGACGCGTCAGTCAGGTCATAAAACCTAAAGACAAGCTTATCATGGTCCAGAAACGTGGTTAAGTACATCACAAAGCTGATACTTATGAAAATAAGGAAAGAAAGGGAATAAAAGGAGCTACACAAGTTAAAGGGTAGCTGGATGAGGTGTAGAGACAGGTCGACCTAGCTCAGGGGAGCTCGAGGAAGCTCAGCCCAGCTCGGTCTACCTACACACTCATTGATTAGCTCACATAGCTGAAGTGTCATGTTTCCGTTCCTGAAACTTGATGTTACGCCAAGACGTTCAATATAAACCAGACTGCTTTGGTTCATATCATGAGAATTGATCATGAACAAGTTGTGATGAAGTGAATGATCAGAATAGATCATGGTAAAGCTTAGCCTTGGTTAAGGAATGGACTAAAGGACTTAAACAGAGAATAATATGAAGATAAGCAAGCTAGACGAGTAATACGGCAGCTTGGTGAAGTGTTTGGGAAGCTCGATCGGCTGAACAGGGTAAGACTCAGCTCTGGCGGGCTCACACTGAGTAGAGTCAGCTCCCTGAGCTGGACTACTAGCTCAATCAGCTGGAGCAGCTGGGGATCAGCTCATCTTAGCTGAACTGAGTGTTTGGGTTTTGGGCCGTTGGGTCAAGTCTGGGCGGTTACCGGGCCGGGTTGATGGCCAGGGCTGGCTATGAGTTGATGGGCTGTTGTGGTCGGGCCATGGGCTTGGGTAATCAGTTTGGGCTTGAGTTTAACATGCCTAGATGTTGCTGGACGTGCCTAGATGTGTCTAGAAACTTCCAAGATCCAACAGATGCGATCTGGACCACTGATTGAAATCGATGGCCAAGATATGTTCTGAAAAGATGCTTGGAAGAGATGTGTCCTTTTGGACATGGACTTTGGTTTCCTATATATAGGAGGGCCTACCAGAGATCAAATCATTAAGTCTTAGACATGGACACACTTCCTAGAGATCCCCCAATGATAAATGAGGATCCAAGCCATAAGAGCAGGATCCGAGATCCAAGACATCAAGGGATGCCACCAAAGGGTGCCAGCAAGGGATGCCACCTAAGGGTGCCATCAAGGGATGCCACCAAGGGCTGCCATCAAGAGATGCCACCAAAGGGTGCCATCAAGGGATGCCACGAAAGGGTGCCATCAAGAGATGCCACCAAAGGGTGCCATCAAGGGATGCCACCAAAGGGTGCCATCAAGGGATGCCACCAAAGGGTGCCATCAAGGGATGCCACCAAGGGGTGCCATCAAGGGATGCCACCAAGGGGTGCCATCAAGAGATGCCACCAAGGGGTGCCATCAAGGGATACCACCAAAGGGTGCCATCCAAGGAATGCAAGTGTATCGTGATCCAAGGGACGCGAGTACACCGTGATCCAAGAGTTACGAACGTGTCGTGATCCCAGAGGTACGAATGTGTCGTGATCCAACAGGTACAAACGTATCATAACCCAAGGGGTGAGAACGGGTCGTGAACCAAGGGGTGCGAACGTGTCGGGACCGAATGGGTACAAACAGTTCAGGACCGAAAGGGCACAAATGGTTCGTTTCCGAAAGGGTGCGAATGGTTCGGGTCCGAAAGGGTGCGAATGGTTCGGGTCCGAAAGGGTGCGAATGGTTCGTTTCCGAAAGGGTGCGAATGGTTCGGGTCCGAAAGGGTGCGAATGGTTCGGGTCTGAAAGGGTGCGAATGGTTCGGGTCGGAAAGGGTGCGAATGGATCGGGTCCGAAAGGGTGCGAATGGTTCGTGTCCGAAAGGGTATGAATAATTCGGGACGCCACTTGCATTGTGTAGGGCGTGGACTTACATAGTGGCATTTGGTTATTAGTTGAGTCAAGGCTTGATATAAGGGGTGATGGTTTATCTTGAATAGTGTTGAGTTCATTAACCATGGACAATGGTTGAGGGTCAAACACTAATAAGTTTGGGGTCATGTCCTTATATCAAGATGACTGTGTATGATTTGATCATGGATGAGAATGAACGATCTGATTCATAGATGATGGATCAAGGTGTTAGATCTAACATGTTCAATGAATGCATTGGATGGTAAGAATAAGGCTGATCAGGCTTGATTGGGACATAGTCCCATGGCCGATTAGTTAAGTGTGAAGACTCATCAATTCTTAGTCATGTGGGATGGTTGGATGATTGACTTAGAATCTGGTGAGCTTTGTTAGTCCGGGATATGGACTTGGAGTCTTAGCCTACAAGGCTAAAAGGCTGTCGAATGATGCATGAGCCAAGAAGGGCCAAATGCATATCTCCTATCGTTGAAGACTTCTCAAGGGTTACTTAAGTCTGTGGGGATGGTTGGTTGAATGACTAAGTACCTAGGGGAGCTGTTTAATGCAGGAACCAAGATAAGGACCTTCAGTAAGATCATTGAGCGATCATGATCCAGTAGGAAAGGAAGAGTAGTTCGGAACAATGGAGGACCGATGAGCTAACCAGCTCCGTGGATGTGACAAAGGTATGATCTAGCATTTACTTGTATAGATATAGATAGAATGGTCTATAAGAATGGAACATCAGATTCGTATGACTTGAACCGTGTTAAGGATCGTTCTATAAGCCGCAAGGTGGTTAAGTGAACTGACCAAGGCATAGACGATTAGACTGGACAAGTGTTAGATTGGTTTTAGACCAATGGCTAATAGAAAATATTCCGCTGCGTAACTATTGAAATGATCTAAGCTAGGAAACGACTAAGGTAGTCTTTAGCTAAGGTCTAAGATAGCCCTCGCCAAAAGGCAATATTATAAATAAAGGGCGGAAAATTTAGAGGTATGGTCCGGAAGAGGACTGAGCAACATGAGGCTTCGACCGCGGCCTGGAAGGCCGGATCGGGTCTTACAAGTTGGTATTAGAGCATGCTTGATCCTGTTAAGGACAATGCTTAAGATTTGGAGTTCCAAACCGATATTATTTCTGAAAATTTAGATGACATGGAACCTTACGTACGGTGAGCGAAGTGAGAGTTGAGGTAAGATTGGGTTTCATGCTTGTGAGCAGGGAAGTTCGAGGATGAGCCGGCTTAGCCAAGATGTACTCTCCAAGGGCAAGTTCCTGAAAACAGAAGGGTTAGTTCATCTAGTTATTTTGAAGTAATAGACGGATTGGATAAGGGACGTAATGCAAGATCTTTGTAAGGAAGACCTGGACAAGGGAGGTAACATGGACTAGAGAGTGGCTTAGGTTGAAATAAACGTGCAGCACTCTACTTAGGTTAAGTGTTATACCTTGGTGGCCGTTCAAAACAAGTGAGCATACATTATATATCTTAGTGTGATGTGGATTGAGGTATATTATAAAAACTCTTGTGAATGGTATGGGACATTCATGGAAGTGTGACACTTTGGAGAATGGTATGAGACATTTTCCAAATGTGTATCAAACCGAGATCCTACTCAGCTAGGAGAGTGGACCAGTTTCGGTAGGCAATCGAGTCCGGTGAAGGACCAGGGTTGGCTTACTCGAACGAGTCCAAATGGGATCTAGTCAGGATGGACTAACATCTTCTGGGTATTGATCATAGACATGGTAATACCTGCGGATCTAATTTGTGTCCACCTCAAGAGTCATGAAGTGATCTTGGGAATGGATTTGGCTTGGAAAGAATCGGGCCACCTTAGAGTGTCATCACAGAAAGGTGCAGTTTGAGGATGGGTGTAGACCCCCGATCAGGTTCCAAGGTATAAAAA